TCACATAAAGAATCGCAGCCCGTGGGATCGTGATCCGAAAAGTCAGAGGTTCTCTTGGACCGTTTGAGGACCCCTAAGACAATACGGGTGTCTAAGTTGATTATAGAACAGTAACACCGAACAATTGGCTTCCTGTCAGTCTGAACCCGAGAGCCTATTTCCCAATCAGGAACAAGGCCGGGCCCGCGATTCGCAATGTTTGGGGTCTTGACACAATGAGAGGTCCCTGTGTGGGTCAGGGGTCGCAGTGGTCCTGTGGAGGCTAACATGAGTCCTGTGGCGGCAAGTGGCCCCGAATCGGCTAAGAGCGGTGTTTTAGGAGGCCTGAAGAGAGGCCGATGGTTCTTGAGATGAAAGATCAAGGGCCCCATTGGATGGCTGAAGGGCCCGAAAGCCTGACTGAAGGTCATATTAAGGATCCCTTCCCGTATGGCCGTGATCTCAAATGTCAGTTAAAGGGCCTCTTGCACAGGTTGGGGAAATCACCAACACTGAACAACCGCCTCCGCGTCGAGCTGAACCCTGGGGACCCAGTTCGTCTCCGCGTCGAACTGTGCCCTGGGGGCTCGGTTCGTCTCCGCGTCGAGCTGAGCTCTGGGGGCCCAGTTTCCAAGCAGAGACAACACCGAGCTGATATCTCCATCGGTCCAGGTTCCTGCAATAGTGCAGGGCTCCTATATCGGTCAAAGCCCACAGTGCCTGACAGGCTGTTCTGTGTCAACAAGGAGCCTCGATTCGGTCAGGGAAACATTTGCCCCGCGTGGGCGAGGACGGGACCCCGAACGACAGAGGGCATCTCACGTTGGTCGGGGCCCTCTCACATTGAAAGGACTCATGAGAACTTACGATGGGGGAGGGGGGGAGGGCTCACATTGGGACCATGGAAGGGTTCTGTGCGAGTCAAAGCTCCCAGCATCGAACGGCTGTCCCTCCAAACCAATTCCAGCATGGGCCCGTTAAGCCGAACTGGAGACTATGTGGCAATTATTGGGCCACCTGCGACGATCACGAATGCTGTTGCGTCAATGAGGGTTCCTGCGTTGATCCGAGGTCGGCTGCGCCGGTCGGAGTGCCTCCCACGCCAAGGGGTGGACAAATGTGATATCATGTATCCCTCTAAGGGCCTCCGGATCAACCAGGGAATCCCACCCCGTGTCCCCAGAATAGCAGCCGGAAGACACTCCGTGGTGGGAAGGAGTGGCCTTTCAGCCCTTGACCGGAAACAATATGTGCCCTAGTGTTCTACTCAGGGGGTATTTTACCCAGGATGAAATGAGGAGTCTTATTAGTGCTGAATAGAGTGGGGGTCAAAATGAGTTAAAAAACGAACAAGCCCACCCATGTTTGCCCGAGAACGTTCATTCATTTGCAGAGTCGACTAGTGAAACAAATTACATCAAAATGTTTGAGCTTGCCTGCCCGCGATCTAGGGAGACAAGGACAGCGATGGCCTGGGTTGCAACTTTCGTAAAATCAAACGACGTTGACCACTTCAACCGACACCATGCGGAGGGCGCCGTGCGCGCGGAAACGACGACTGTCACGAAATGGTGGCTCCGAATGCCAAGATTAACTCGCGCCGCTAAAGGATTAGACTGGACGTATCTGTTTTTGCAACTTCAAGGCTGTCCTCTAGACAGATTGACAATTACAGCAACGCGAAAAAATGAAGTCTTCCCCATTCTTCCAGTTCCACCACCAGATTCTAACACCACTTTGCGGTGCCCTAAATGCCGATCCTTTCTATCATCAATCTAGAAGTCGCACAGGTAAAATATACGATCAGACTACATTCTAAATGTAAGATTTGATATTTTGAGGCGTTCAGGGGAGCTTTTCAGGAGCGTCATCATTTTCGTTCAACTGTTGGCCACGGCTTGTATGATTTTGTACCGTTGTTTTACAGTTGTACAACCGTTGTACCACGGCTATCACACTGATCACACTGATCACATCAATCACACTGAGCGACCTATGGAGACTGCAACGCCGGGCAGCGAAGTCCTCGTTGCTAAGATGTGTGAGTGCGCGTGTTCAAAATTACGGTACGTAATTTGTGTCGCAATTTGATTCTGACGGATTGCTGAGCATTTCCAAGAAAACATGGTTCGCCATGCTCATACAAATTGCTGGCACATTTCGACATGCAATCAACGTTCGCGGTGTCCTTAATATGTCTGTAGAGACCAGATAAAATTCTGACTAAACTGCTGAGTGCTATAGAATAGCAAAGAGTTAGCTGAACTGTTGCGAAGTGAAAAGCGCCGGGATTTTGTGTTATGCAATCTTTTCAAGCAGCTGATTACATATTAGTGCGGTTTTCAGTTCACAGACTGCATTGCTCTGGTCATAGCTGGTGGGTTTATTTTCAGTAATGGAAGATAAAATGAAAATATATGTAAAAAGAGAACGTGACCAAACTAAGAAATCGGCCATTTCCGGCCATGTTTTTTTTTGGGGGGGGGGGGCTTTCACTATCGAAGAGCCCTATGTCAACCCTGTGTGCCCTTGCCAAGGCCCTGGCTGCGCAGCTGACGGCAGTACAGGGGTTCCTCGGCCATTATGGAACGTGCGAGATAGCTTAGGACTGTCAATGTTCAGTCAAAATTTATATGCGGCTTAAGTTGCCTGAAACCGCCAAGCACCGGCATGCTTTCGTTAAAAAGGTTGAATTGCTCAGTTTTTCCTCAAATATTATGGTTCATGGTATTTGCAGCGACGAGCTCATGATTTCCAACTACAACAAAATATCACGCCTTCGGCGCGCTGGAATCAAACGTCATGTCGAGGTTATTTTTATAAAGGATAAAAGAGATAGCTAGACTAAGCTCTAGTTGAATTGCGCCAAGTTAGTGGAAACACATGTGTTATAGTTTAAATGGCGAGAAATACAGGAAATGTGCTACAGTTGAAGATATTGAAACGAACTCCATATATGATGAATAAGCTGACTTATAACCATGACATACTTTTAAGTGGAAAAGAATGTTCTAGACAACAACACTTCTCCGCTGAGTAAATATGCTTTTCCACCTGTCATTATTTGATTGCGTCATCGCACCTTGCACAGCAATGATTGAGAGCCAATTGATGGCTGTTATGTATCGAAATTCTGCTGACGAACGCCTGATGTGAACGACTCGATAACAATAGTTTTCTTAGCCTTGGAGGGATTCAGGTTTTAAGAAGGGCTGGGCTGTAGACTGCCCAGAATGCCCCCCAAGATGGCTACTTCAGTTCAGTGATAGAAATGTGGAACCCTCTCTTTAGCTTTGGACACCTCGGCTCGTCAAAATATGTAGCAGTCTTGTACCTTGGTTCGCGACCGTATCCATCGACAATTATTTTGCTGAGCGAGAAACATGTACGTGAAATAACCGGTATTGTCTTTTGGGTACTTCTGTGATCCCACCTGTCCGTGATCCCGATGTAGCATTCTTCCAGCACAATATCACTACCTCCCGTCCAGCATTTTCGCAGTCACCTTCACCTCAACCCAAGCCCAACCCGAAACCCAACTTATTCCTCTTTTTCAGGCAGCGCAGAAAACCGGTTTAGCCAGATGTATGCCGACTACTGGGGTGCGGCGAAAGGCGCTTTCTAGGCCACGCAAGCTCTGTGTGGCCCCAACGTGTCGCGCTGGTTTTGAGGCCTGCCCAAGATATGGTGTAGAGCATGCTGGTTGCACAAGGTTCTTGTCTGGGACACGGCCTCGATGCGATCCTAATATTGGATTTTATCCCCGAGTGCCAGCTGCCACCGGTTCAAACTCTGGCATGTGTTCATCGGCCCCTGCTGTCGAGATTCCACGCCATTTTTTTTTCGCGTCCGAGGGAGGGAAATCGAGCCGAAGGTGGAGCGTACAGGGAGTATTTTACATTGTATGGGGCATTGAGCTGAAATAGACACCCTGAAGATCACTCGGTGTAGTTCACAGCCGTGCTCTTCTGAAGACTTTGATGATGAAGACTCTGATGAGAGAGGCTTTCAGTGATTGCCAATCGAGGCGAGAGCTTGTTGCGCTTCTGGGCATGTTCTTCATTGTCAAATGATGCTGAGTGACACTGCTAGGGACGATGTTGCCCGCAAAGATTCGGGCGGCACCAGCAGATGCTCTTTTACCAGCCCTAGTCCACACTGCAACCTTTGAGTGGAGGGGCCTGTGGATGGCCGGATATGGCATCGTTATTGGGGCTTTACGACGCACTCAGCCGCTGAGGCGATGTCGCGGCGCCTGGCTTTCCCCCTGGCAGGAAGGGCGGGCACCGCAGGGAATCGAACCCCGCACCGCTGGTTTCCCGGACGCACGGCGATAACGCAAGCGTGTTTACCACTTCACTTCGGCACTGTTCGTATCTGCTGTGTGCGTGTCCCGGTGCTTCTTGGCACTTTTTCGAAATTTTTTTTTCACCCACAGAAAATGTACGCCTTTGGTGGTCTCCAGCTACCTCCTCCACGACGCTTTTCAAACATTGCGTGGAACTGTCTGCGTATGACCGCGTGGGCCCGGGTCAAATACAATGCTCGGCGTAGAGCTGCCGTGCTCCGCTGTCTGCGTATGACCGCGCGGGCGCACCAATGTCCTACCATTAAGTTTGATCTATTTCATCTCATTACCTTTGTCTATAAATTTTTATTTTAGAATTTTGATCTATCTACCATATATACGTACGTCTCTCCGCGTTATCCTCCGTTTCTTGCTTCTCTGAGCTCGCCCCGCTGCTCCACGCACCCTGATAGAAAACTACCCGCTATCTTGCGCGGATGTTGCGTTCACCTTGATAAAAAACTACCCGCTATCTTGCGCGGATGTTATGTTCATAGTAAATGCCAAACGTAGCGTGCCACCTCGTTGTTTGAATGGACAATTACATTGATTTTGCGTGGATTATTAGGCAAATATTAGGAAAAGCGCATTGACGCATGGCACTGATTGCGTTGACTGTCATGCGGCACTTAGGAAAAGCCCACGGTGATATCCAACAGTTTAATAAGCAAAAGTATATTTACAGTAGTGTTTCACGTGGTAACATAAAACTACGCATACACATATGCGTACAGGAATCACGCGTGCATTGCCCCCTTTTCTATGCACCGTTGTATTCATATGTTATCGCGATAATCACATACAAAAGGAGCCAAACACAAATTGGTTTCGCTGACCGCTAGACAAAACGCGATCCAGCCGTATCTGAGGAATAGTGTCGCGGGTAGTATTTAGGCTGAGGGATTCCAGCCACCAGCTTGCAACCCAGCTCCTCTTAGTTTGAAAGAGAAACGTCCCAACATGAGATGACGTGCTCATAAGAAATTCATGCAACGCAAGCAAAAACAGCCATTCACTTCTTTGGACTACCTTCAAAATGGCAAAATGGGGACGAAAGGTATACAACATTGTTGTGCTACCCTAGGCTGATAGAACTAGGGCAGGAAGCCGACAAACGTGGTTTGCGGAACACGTTGGCAAACCTGGGCGGAACCATATGACCAGACACCCAACATCGCACGGGACCTCAGGGGCTTTACGGGACATAGGTCGAATTAAGCACTAAATATATTACGTCCAATTGCGACGTCCGCTTTGGTATGCCACTATACATTCCGCTACGTTGGAATTCCTTCGGGGCCCGAGCCCTCTTCCGGGACAGGCTCCTTGCAAAGACTATCATTTTACTATCGCTTGCGTTCATGGTCGTTTAAAACTTCGCCGCAACATGAAACAAAACACGCATACCTTAACGGAAGTCATATCACCGAAAACAAGTGTTTAGCTTCTCCGGCGGCCCAGCGTTCGTTTGCCCGTGCTCAAGGTTCACACAAATCAGGCACGCCAAACGTCCCGCGCCTGCGCAGTGGCGGGCGTCGCATGTCCGACGGTGCACCCGGCCAGTGCCTCCAGCCCCAGCTGGGAGCAGGGCCGGACAGAGCGCCGGCGGCCCGTTTCTAGTGTCCCCCGCCGGCTCCACACAGCGGCGCCCGCGCAGCTACGCCAGGATCACGATGTGCAGGAAGTTGTCGGCGTAGCTGAGGTGCTGGCTCAGCCACTGGACGGGCGTTTCTAGGGCCGGCGTGATGCCGTGCAGGATCACGCGGGGCGAGCCTGCCGACACGGCCGGTTACCAGCGCACCCTACCACAGTCGGGGCTCGGAGCCGGGCTCCGCCCGCTGCTCGCGCTCCGCTGCACCGGCCCCATCTGTCAGACTGCACATCGCACGTCGCCCCCCCCCCCCCCCCACACACACACACAGCCCGCTACGCTATGCTGCGACCAACACCGCCCCTGACTTAGTCCATTGCCTGTGTCCAAGCGTCCGTCACTGACAAGGCCGACAAATCAGGCAGCCTCCTCCAACGACACCGACTACGCGACGCCTGGGCAGCTTGGTCTGGCGGTCCGAGACAGCTCCGCCACCAACACCAGGCTCGCCAGCGTCCCAGCCCATCACACACGTGTGTGCAAGTCCAGACCGTTTTAAATCGGCGGGAGGCGGGGGTGCTTTTTGAGACAGCGCTCGGAAAAAAAGGGAGGCACAAAGTGGGCGAGGGTCCTTTTGCCGCACGCTGACAAATGCCACATAGCGGCGTGCGAAAAACCAATCTGCCAAGGTGGCCAGCAGGCGAAATGCTGCAAGAGCCTAGGCGGAAATGGTGAAGGGCAAGATGACATGCTAAAAGGGTAACGCGTTAAAATGCCGGATTGCAAAATGGCAACATGCAAGAAAGATCGCACGTTATGAGTTGCGCGTTGCGACATCACACGTCCAAAGTGATGTAAGGTGGGGTGAGGCGATGTGGTGAGGTCCGTTGAGGTGAAATGAGCGGGGCTAGGAGGGGCGGGGCGTGGCGCAGCGCGGCGTGGAACGGCGTGGTGTGGTGGGTGGCGTGGCGTGGCGTGGCGTGGCGTGGCGTGGCGTGGCGTGGCGTGGCGTGGCGTGGCGTGGCGTGGCGTGGCGTGGCGTGGCGTGGCGTGGCGTGGCGTGGCGCGGCGCGGCGTGGCGTGGCGTGGCGGCGAGGCGAGACGAGGCGAGGCAAAAAGACGTTAAGTTACGGTTAAATTTTTAGGTGTCGCCATCTAGTTGATAACCATTACGGCATGTCGCCGTTTTGCGGCCTGTCATCTAGCATTCGGCATAATAATAATAATCGTTATATCTGCATTACGCTTTTTGTAAAATACATTTCGAAATAATGGAAGACGTGCGGAGCCCCCCCCCCCCGAAATACATATGATTCAAGACCAACCATCTTCGCTACGACGAATGAAGCATCCTATGTACCTGGAGTCAGTGTACAGCTTATATAAAGCCAAAGGCGCCTGAATGCCGCAGTAGATTGCAGCTGTTCCCGGAAGGCATTCAAACCAACTGTATCCATTGATCATCCAAAGGACTTATCCGGATAACAATCGACAGCACAAACAGTGGGCTATATTGCCAAAACGCGTTTCAAACTGTGCTTATGGCGACAATTCCCCTCTGTGTGTGATCAACATGGCGTCAATCAACATACCAACATGGCGTTATCGAGGAGCCCTGGAGGCAGCCACCGGATCTGACCTGCGCGCGCCAGCTCCGGCGCCAGCTCGGGCGCCAGCTGGCCGATCATGTCGAGCAGGGTGTGCGGCTGGCCGTCCTCCGCGCACGGGCTGTACGGCCGCTGCACGTACGGCTGGCCCGGCCGGTACAGGCGCACCGGCACACTACGGAAGCGCTCCTCCGGCGGAGCCTCCATCAGCCGGCGGTTCACCGACCAGAACTGGTCGAACTTGTCTGCAGGCGACCGAGGCCCGGGGTCAGTCAGGTCAGGGCGGGACGAGCCGACGGGGGCCCGGGGTCTGCCGGGTCAACGGAGGCCCGGGGTCAGCCAGATCAGGGCGGGACGAGCCGACGGAGGCCCGGGGTCAGCCAGGTCAGGGCGGGACGAGTCGACGGAGGCCTCCGGGGTCAGCCAGGTCAGGGCGGGACGAGCCGACGGAGGACCCCGGGGTCAGCCAGGTCAGGGCGGGACGAGCCGACGGGGGCCCGAGGTCAGCCGGGTCAGGGCGGGATGAGCCGACGGAGGCCCCGGAGTCAGCCAGGTCAGAGCGGGACGAGCTCACGGAGGCCCTGGGATCAGCCGGGTCAGGGCGGGACGAGCTCATGGAGGCCCACGGGGTCAGTCAGGTCAGGGCGGGACGGGACGAGCCGACGCCAGGCCTTCCCCGGCGTTGATGAGGAAAGTGACGGCCCGACACCGGGGAGGACCCCAAGCGCCGGAGACGCGGTCGGGCCGACAGGGCCGAGGGCCCGGTCCCCCCCCCCCCTCCCTGGGAGGGCCCGTCCCCAGGAGGGGTAGGACCAAGCAGTCCGGAGTCAGACGGTGTATAGTTCCCAGCGAGCTGTGATGCCTCCCATAGGTCACGACACATCCGTAGAATCCCATTGTGAACAAATGAGAAATTCAAGCGCAGTAGTGACATAAAGAACACTTCATAGTGTCCTTCCCATTATTGTCTACGAACACAGCCGCCCGAGACGAGACGGCGCGAAGGCGGCCGGCCCCGCACGCTGCACGCTAACACCCGTCAGTCAACGCAGGCCACGCGCCGGACCCACCGCTGGCAAGGCCGGCCCACAGCTGGTTGTGGTCCCGCTTGCCCAGCGACGACATCACAGCGCCCTTGTGCTTCAGCTGGTCGGCCTCCTTTACCGATGACAAGAAGAAAGATTCCAGCGCCTCCCTGTGGCAGAAAAACCTGGTCCTGTAATCGGTCTCGACATCGGTGGACTATCCGGCCGGCGTATGCAAAGGGAGCTGGAATCTGATAAGATGAGCCTAGATTCACGATGTTGTACGCAGCCTTCCACTTAGAGCACAAAATATCAGCTGGAAGTCACATGATGAAATACAAACAATTGCCGACTCCGCGTCACCGTCCCATCGACATGGCAGCTGATTGGCCTGGGAAGCTCTTATGACGTCAGTCATGGGCCGTGACAAACTGGTAGCAGATGTGCCGTCCCCTCAGGATGTGTGCCGGGGCGGAGACCCCTGGATCCGGCAGCACGAGCATTCTGCACGCACCGTTTCATGACGCACGCCTCGTCCGTGTGGCTGGTGAAGTGGACGGCCAGGTGCCAGGGCAGCGCCGACTCGGTGCACAGCAGGTCAAACTGCAGGCCCACCGGCTGGTGCCTGCAGGTCCCGTGATCCGGACATCAGGCCAGGGCGCGCACCCACGGGCCCACATGTCCCGGTCACGCCAGCATGGGGCAAGCATAGCAGATCTGAACACAATGCATAGACGGGAACGTGTCCGCCCTCACGGCTCGATCGGTGGGAATCCCTGTCTCCCACCCCAGCTGCGGCGGGGTGAGTGGGTTGAAGTCGCCTTGGCACCTACAGTTTGCCTCTGACTGGAGTGACCTGCGGTCTGTACTAACGGCCGCTCAAGGTCAGACGAGGTCACAGCGCAAGACGGACCGTGCCGAGCATTGCGGAACAGCAAACGTTCGCCGCACGAGTCTGCCCTTAAACTTGAAATTCACGATCCACTGATGGGGTCAGAGTTCACGACAAACAACGGCTAGCATAAGTTCTGTTCTCAGAAATCATACAATGAAAATGTTCAGACTGTATTACTTTTTCGATGGCAGGCACGTACCACCATGACCAACAAGAAGAAAACCAGGGTGGCTTAAAAACTTTCTGAGCACAAATGCCAGCTAACTTGGCTGAAATGAATTTTTCTGCACGCATGACAAGGAATAACCATTTGCATGCCATTTGCATATTATGCGATACCGGCGTTCGATTCCAAGTCGGGGATGAAGCATATGTTTCACGCAAAGGTCGCTCCAGAGGACGCCAGCGGCCTACGCCATGACGCTGGCCGTCTCGTCGTGTGAGATACTCACCACTTGAGGGGGGTACCGTCCCACTCGAGCCACACGTCGCTGCCCTGGTGGTCCGGGTGGACACTCCGCGAGAAGTGACGGCGCACCTGCCGACCGCATCACGGGAGCTCAGAACATCACCCGGGTAGGCGTTCAAGAACACATTTGTAACCAACGCTGCCGATGTGCCTTCGTCCTGACGGCGATCACATCACGGGTCTCGAGGAGGGGTTTATCTTTTCCAGGTGTCATAATCTCATGCGCCACAGCATATCCGAACAACCGCTGGCACGTGTTATGAATATATGCCAATTACATGTCATAGATACCATGACTTATGTCAATTAGCGCCACCCCTGAGACGGGAAGATAAGCAAAACGTTTCCGCGAAAGCCCCATAGGTTTCTGACCGTGACCCGTGAAAAAGACAGCCACATATCCATCAGCAGATGGCATAACCATACAGAAGCAAAGCAACGTGTTCTCTTAAATTTGGAACAGAAGGAACTGACCACTTTTAAAATCAGCAGAAATCAGACAATTTTAACAATGGTGCATACCCTGTCAATGACCAGTGGGAAGTAGGTCATCCTGGGCACGAGCAGATAGTAGGGCTCCGGCACTGACACAGTGTGCACCTCACTGTCAGCCAGGCGGAAGCAGACCGGCACGCGGCCCTCCCAGACGTCCCGCAACACCTGCCGGTCCTCCGCCATGGCTGCGGCCCAGCTCACCACGCCTGCAGCGAACCAACGCATGACGTCCAGACGGGCCCTCCCGCCACAGGAGACACCATGCCAGCACGGCCGACGCTGCAGCGCACCATGGCGGAAATCACGTGGCCACACAAGTGTCACTCCAACACGACTCACGCAGCATATAAGAGCTCGGCAAACACTGGCCCATCACGTTCAACGTTAAGGAAACAATTCAACAAGCATTCATCAAGATAAACACACACGACCCTTCACAGCTGGCCTTTGATGGCCAACGAATCCCTTGCCTTACAAGCCCAACACAGCTTGGTTTGACGATATCTACTGACTTTCCTCCCCCCCCGACCCATCAGTATGTTGGTGACACCATCTCCAAAACTAAAATGGCCATTGGGCCTCTCTACCCGCCATCGTGACTTCTGCCTCGATATATCTACATGGCATATACACAGTGTACATTTTTCCTTCATTTGACTATTGTGACATAATATATGATTTTAAAACCAGTGACACCCTTAGACCTGCATGACTACAGCACAGAGCATCCAGACTAGTCAATAGCGCACTTTACATCACACGCACACGCACGCGCACGCGCACGCGCACGCGCACGCGCACACACACACACACACACACACACACACTGTTGAACAATTTAGGATGGAGCACTATCAAGTCGTGGAGACACACACACACACACACACACTGTTGAACAATTTAAGATGGAGCACTATCAAGTCGTGGAGACATACATAAACTGACACTGTTCCACACCTTCATCCACAACCAACATCAAGACCAACCAACGCTACTGCACTTCTACCGGACACACGAGCACCCGCAACAGGGCGTCCGCTATGCAATGCAGGGGCACACATGTCACCAACGAACAGAATCGCAACATATCAAAACTCCTAAATCCCATCATCCACAAGGAGATGGATCCAGTTCCCACTTGCGATGACAACCCTCCAGTACCTTCTTTCTTCACACAGGAGATATACCAGCACTGTGCTGTGGCTGTACCTCGAATGTAAAATGGTGTACCTGTATTGCAATGCTCTTTTTTAACATTAGGTACCAATGTGTACCATGACCTGCAGCAGACTGATGTCCCAAGTGGTGTAGTTTTGCACCTAACTTTGTGGAGCGGGTGAGCAGAGAAATGTTTCACCCAAAGAAATGGTGCAAACCATGTTCTCCCTGATTTTGACCAAGCTTTTTTTCTCAAAGTTGGGCAGGGGCTAGCTTTCTATCCAGCTAAATATGGAACTGCATTCTTGTTCCCAAGTTAAGTACATCTAGGTCAGTAAAAGCTAAGGCAGGTATCACATTGCCCCAGAATCTTTCCTCTTGGTGAGAAAGATTGCACCTTGGCTAGAATGTGGATGCACTAGCTACCATGCCCCAGATGCTCCTATTTATATTGTGGCTTGCATGATAATTCGGTCATAAACTTAACACTACATGCTCTGGAGAATGGTGCAACAGGTGCACAACATTTTAAGCATCTGCTTCTATCAGCCCTTACTGGGACTGATGCCTTTACAAAAGAATTATCAATATCAACAACTTTTCATCAGCTCCGTAGCTTAAAAAATACAGCAGGTGCAAGCAGAGACTTAGGAATGAAGCACTTAATCAGGAAGCTACAAAATTTAAGAACTGCAAGCAGCCAATTGTTAATGGTCTTTGGCAATCAGTGAGACCTGCTAGAGCAAGGTGTTTGCTGCCATCTGCTGCCAAAGAATGTTCTTTAGTGCCAGCTATGATTGCAGTGCAAATTTACTTGTTATTTTGTTCTCACTACAAGCCATGGTTTTAATATTTTTGTTCTCTCCCCCAAGAGCCAAAACCAAAGTTCACATACTGCTTGATAATCAATGGTTCAGGTATGTAATGACATTTAGCAGGTACACCAGCACAAGACAGCACATGTTGAACAAAGTACGGTTATCTGCGAGAGCACATGTGCGGCATACACAAGACCTACACACATACCAGCACCCAGCTTAAGCTGTAAAACCATAACGCTGCAAAATAAGTGAAGAAATAAAGAACAAAGTTAAAGACTGTGGATGCCGATTCGATGATCGTATGGTGTTTGAATAACGTCCAGACAAAATAGAATAAAGGCGTACCAGCTTATGGAAACTGTCCGACTTTCCTCAATCTGAGCGAATTAACTCAGAGTTCAACTGGAAAGCGCATACCACCACTGGCGAACCGTACAAACCGCTACAAATTTAGTGAACAAGGCCTTGCGCACGGGCCAGCGCATAGCGCATATCGCAAGGTATGAATAAATCACAACTCAAAAATTTACGGCAACAAAGATCCTTTTGCTAGCAGCGACCTAGTGACGTCACTGGTATGCAGCTGACTGGCGTCGCATAACGTCAATAATCGAGCGAAAGCGGGCATTTGCAACTATTGTCAAGGTAAGGGTTGACTGGCCGATTGGCCTGGGTTTGGTCATCATTAGGGAGTTCTTAAACTGTCATTTGAAAGCGGAGTTCGAAAGGCTATTGCCACTAATCAACCAACCAATTTTCAGAAGTGATTTAGGCCAGGCTGCTCCAGGAACGTAGCCTCCAGGGTCTGCAGAAGGAAAATGAGAGGCCCAAGTCCTCGAGTCTTGCAATGTGACCGCTCGACCGTCGGACTTGCCACACCGCCCAGATAAGCCCTAATTCGCCACGCTGCCCCGAAAGGCGTTTGTTGTGAATTCATGACCGGCTGGGCCCATGCGCCGCGGCCTGCGCGACCGACCGGGTGGCCTTGTTTCGCATATGGCTGTGGTTGGACGAGCCCACCTGACATGAGCGCATGCCGCACGGTCCCCTGAAGCTACGCAACACTTCACGTGCAGATGGCCGCTCGCCCGCCCGCATGTTGTAAGACCACTGGCTACAGTGGTGACCTGGCGGTACATCACCGGGTTGCCGGGACCACCGAGTCACGGGTTTCGCCGAGGCATGGCAGGGTCGGTGGATTCATGCAACCCCACGGCAGCAGAGTTTCAGCCCTGCCACGCCAACATCAGGTTGCACAGGACCTTTGTACCGGACAGCACGTTCTCGTGCAGGGCCGCAAGACAGGTCCGCATGACCGGTCTGAGAGGGTCGCGTGCTTCAACGGGCGGTGAGGCAATCTGGTGCGCCTGCCCAGTGTATCAAACAACCAGGGCGCATACGTTGTGAGCGCCGGGATCTCCCGCCCCTACAGCTGTTCGTAGCCATATCGTCGAGTGGCAACAGCAGTCCAGGTGGCGGGGGCGGCGGCTGCCTCGTCTCCGGTGACAGCGGCGGCGGCGGCGACTGCCTCGTCACCGGTGGCAGCGGCGGCGGCGGCGGCTGCCTCGTCTCCGGTGGCAGCGGCGGCGGCGGCTGCCTCGTTTCCGGTGGCAGCGGTGGCGGCAGCGACTGCCTCGCCTCTTTTGGCGGCGGCGGCGACGGCGACGGCTTTAGCGGTAGCGGTAGCTGCGACGACGACGGCTGCGTTAACGGTGGACGTGTGATCGGTGACTTCTGGTGCGACCGCTCCCGCAGTGCCGTCCGCGAGGCGCCAATTACGACACCAGCGGTCGCAGGGACTGTCGTATCGTTACGCGCACAGGTAAATGGCAGCGAATTAGTAACTGCCGAGTAGTCATGTTGTTTTTATCGTCCAGGCTGCAGTGTCTACTGGCTTTTGTTTAGTTACGTTCGCGTTTGATGTTTCGGGCGTGTAAGTGGTCAGACGTGTTTATGTTTAAGTCATACTTGTGGGGGTGATGGTCTCCCCTAGGGACGATGGCAAGATGTCACAGTGGGGAGGCACAACTTAAACATTTACACTGAAAACCGAGTCTAGCGTGCCACAGACGCAGGGAAGTTTCTTGTGTATCGTAAAACTACGTCGCATGCTCGCTTTTACGTGTCTAACTGGAAGCCGTCAACTTTGGTAAACGAGGGGCACGTTTTCCCGACGGTTACTACGCGCGTACACCGCGGTTCCGTCTCGCTGAAGATGATGCGCGGCTATGGGCGCGCTGTACCCGGAAGCCGGCGGTCTACTGACGCAGTCGACCGAGTGCCTGATCTACCCTGGAGGCGTGGTTGCACCGTCGCGCATAAAATCATTAGCTGGAGGAACACGGTTCGACGGGTGTGCAAGCAGCCACACTTCATGTGGACATGGACCTAATGTTGTCATGGCGGCGCAAACACCTATCCATGGAAAAGTGTTCAACTGAGGTTAGTCTGGGTGAAAGTTTGCCGTTTAACTAACAACTTGATTAATAAGAGTAACCATTGAGCATAAAAAGACGCACGATCAAGCATATTTTTCATAATTTGTCTTGCCATGCTCCACACATGCCGAATGGATGAAGCATGATATGACAAATTAATAAGATTGGCGCACTTATTGAGAGCAATCCTAAGGTGCAATTGCCGGAGAAGCAGTGTAGCATGTGCGGTGCTGACCACGGACGCACCATGGGTCACGGTAGCCAGACGACAGCAGATGGCACCGGTGGCAGATCCAGAGGGGGGCATGGGTGCCATGCCTCCCTTCCCGCGTGCCGAATGGGCACCAAAATCTTGCGGTGGGAGGCCAAGGGCGCGGGAGCTTTCCATGTTGGGGAGGCAAATCCAAAATGGCAAGATGGACCCCTGAGATTCGATAGTGCGCTCACTACAAGCCAGAATGGGTCCTTCATAATCAATAATGGGTCCTCTACAGATCAGGATGAGCCACATAGAGCACAGGCGAAAACACATTTTTTTTAAAATGGGGGGCAGGATCAGGGCATACTTATGAGCTATTACTGAGAAGCAGACCCAATGACCGGAGGATGGGGGGAGGGAGGTAGAGATGGATGACATTGTCCGCTTTCAATTCAAAATTTCAACTCATTTTGGAAGTAATAAAACGTCATGGTCGCTTTGTGAGATGTACCCTACGGCTCTCTCCCACTGGTCAGCTCTTGCCTGTTCGACTCATCCATGCCATTTGGCAAGTGATGATCCAGCTTCCGAAGATTATCCGTCCATTTCAACATTGTTTTCCCTGAGGAGGCAAAATTCCACGAGCGAGCAGGCATTTTGGGTCATTGGTGAGGGATCTGCTGAGAATCTTGGAAATAATCGGCTCATATTGCACCAGTCTGCATGGTTCTAAATTTCGCCGGATGCTTTTCAAGAGACAAGATCTGCCGCGGCATTTTAGGCGGAAACAATATAAAGCTTCAAACACAAACTGCCAACAATGCGACAAAAATAACAAAAGTTTCTTCTGTAACAAATCAAATCACATCACAAACGCATTTCTTTCGGATACTCTTCATCTGATCCTGCTCTGATCCCATCTGAGCCAAGCTTTCGGGCAGCTGCCTGCCTGAGACATGAATTGGCCCACCGGGCATTCATTCGCACCTCATTCAACGTGGCCGACATGATCTGCTCTTTTATGAAGCCAGGGGCGTATGCAGAGCCTTGACAAGCGCACAGTCTACAAATGCCCTCTGACGGTTGCCCCCCTCCCCCCCCCAAAAAAAATCGCCGGACATCTCCCACTTGCTAACGAACCTTGCCAACAACTGTGCTGTTGATCCTCGGTGTGGGGGGGGGGGGGGGGGCACAGGACTGACAAAAGCCTCTGGTGGTGAAAGTTCTCCCACGGGGAAATGCCCGGGTATAGCTCACTTTTTAATTATGGACGCAGTGTTCCAGGGCCAGGCCCGACCAGTAACCTGAACAAAAACAAAACCAAAAGATATCGCGAGATCAATGCTGTTTGTGGTTTAACGTCAATGAACCACATAAATCAAGCGTTCAACGAATGCATGAAACAAATCACCAGCTTTCCGTATTTGAATTACGATTCGAATACTAAACGCGACGGTACAGTACGACAGTACAATCAAACGTCACAGAATCGATGGGACTAAGCAGCCGAGCCTTACCCGCGCTCCTCCGCACCACGCAGGCGGCCGCCGCCGCCGCCGCCGTCAGCGCCGGCAACAATACATCTCGTGCTGCACAGCTCGTGCGGATCTCGTGCGTTTACGCGCCGGGCACCTCCGCCCCGCGCGGCCTCATAGCGCGCTTACTTCATTTTAAATTGGTTCAGTGGCCTTCTCTAAACCGATGAAACTGAGAAGCGTAGTCAGATTTTTTCTAGGTTTTCAGGGACATTTATGAACACTTGAACGTAGATCATGCATCGAAATGGGGTCTACATCTGTATTGATATGACTTATCCATGCTTGTCTTGAAATTTTCAACATTTAGTCAGAATCGATTACTGAGGATAATGTAGCATGCCTTTGAACATGCGCGCTCGCGAATCTTAGCACAACAGCCTCAACGCCCGGAATCAGCAATCACAAGTATTTTCTCGGGCCACTTTCTTCTGGCCATGCCACCACGGCCAGTCCAGGCGCTGCTAGCTAAAGAGGTCATGCCAGCCGGCCAGTGATTTTCATTATCGGCCAATAATGTTTTCACACCGACATCGTGTGCTCAAGGCTGCACCTGCCGCACAAGAAAATATGTGTTATAAAATTTGGCGCAGTGACTTTGCAAATTGTCTTACGGACAACCCCCCGTATTGAGTGAGACACTGTCGAGGTTCAAGTAAATAAAATGGCAACCAGGATTTGACACCTATTTTGTAGGTTAGCCGATGCCTCTACACCAGGATTATCGCAAGCACACAGTCGCGTGAATACAATTATCTTGCTCAGTCCGTCGTATTCTGGTCTCTAAGCCGCAGGCAGAGAGGTTGCAGTGAACAATACGACGGCAAACCTTAGCTCAATAGTTAATGCCGGCAGGTGAGCGATTTACATTGCCAACCGATAGCAACCCCCAGTCTCGTCGTGTGCGCATAATCACACTTTTCGCACACCAAAAAGTATCTTAAGGGGAGCATTCTACATTTGTTCGTGGTTCTGAGCTGAAACAGCCGTCTTGTACACCATTCGGTGCAGTCCATAGTCCTGCCTTTTTAACACCTAAACCCCTCTAGTTTCTGGGCTAAACGCCCGCGAAGAGGTGCAGAATATTTTGGTTAGACTATTTCGATGGCACGCAGGCATCCATGGTGGCACAATAACGTTATTCAGATCCTGCCATTCCATTAGCCATGCAATGCTCAAATCAAGAAAAAATTATTGTGTAGTCGTTCATATCTGCCATTCATCAGTACGATTTCCAGATAACACGAACGTCACTTAGCTCGCAATTTATATTGTGCCAACTTTTTAGCCCAAGCCATGCGACAATGACATCGTGTACGCAGGGTCGCACCCGCCGCGCATGACTGACACTATTTGCGTTGTACCTTTAGCTCCTAGCCCTGTACCAAGGCTGTCGCGTGCACGCAGTCACATTGTTCGTGTGTTGATAACATTTTGATTCCTGGGTTGACATATTCTGGCCCTCCCGCCGCGTGGAGCTTTTTAAAGTTTTTTTTTTCTTCGGTGCTGCTGTACTCTGGTAAAAACGCTACGGGTAGGGCGCCGTCTGCTAGGAACGACTATTGCAGGGGAGTTTGAGCAAACAAATTCATGCCTACCGATGGGAGATTTACCTTTCCAATCACAACTGGTCCGACAATGACATTGCGTGCACCTGCAGTGCAGGAGCAAAACTATTTTTAATTGGGTGCCGGAGCTTTGTAAGTTGATTGTGCGAGCAGCCGTTAGCATTCAGGGATCCACCGACTGATGGTCGACTGAAAAAAAATGGAAACCCGAATCGAACACGTATGTTGTACTGGCAGATGATAGGCCCACACCAGCGTCGTTGGGAACGCACAGTGGGACTTATCCCGCGTAATCGTGAGTGTTGCTCCCAAGCCACCGTGTTCAGACCATGGCACTACGGACAGGCCGACAGTAATGAGTGATGCATAGTCAGGGGGTAATTTGAACAAAAACGTGGGTCATGTTGGGCGATGAGTGATTACCTTGTCAGCCGGTATTGCTCCCATGATGACATCGTGTGCACAAGGTTGCAACCGCCACACACGAATAGGGGTATCTTAAATTTGTCGTCGTCACTTTGCATGTCTCCGCTGAGGACGGCTGCCAGCATTGAGTGAGACGCTGTCGGACGGTTGTCTGAACAAAATGGATAGAGTCGGACAAGTGTGATGTATGTGCATCTGATAGCCCTATGCCAGGGCTGTCAAATACACACAGCCGCACGCTCTCTGCGCGATGAAGTGTTTTTCTTGGGGCACCGCATTTACGCCATGGGCAAGACGGCCGCTGTTTCAACGTGCCCCCAAGAGGTCATTTGAACAAACAAGGTCATGCCAGCCGATTCTTGACAAGCCAGAAACCTTAGTCCAGGCAGGTTTTCTCGGTTTCTTTTGTTGCACTTCTGACTTCTTACCACTGCCGCAGTGGTTCGATACCGCACAGTCCCCGCCTGGTCCATTATTCAGTTTGTCGAATACTGCGGCAACATCTATGATAGGGTCGAGATCGCTGAATAAATTATCAGCACGTATAATCATCGCGATCGGCTTAATCTACGATTCTACATATTGTGCACTGGCCACATCCAGATAAATCGGGGTCCTGTTATAGATGGGACCCCAGGATTTATCATCGTTGCTTGCGCGACAGGTTTCATATATTTTCTTGACGACTGGTCTGCCACTCAATTTGTCACACTCACGTTTACGATTAACGGTAACCTCATGGGCTTTAACACGGAATCTACTCCGGCACAAGACGCCCATCGCCCACCGCACGAGTCGTCAACAAGTGTGCACTCCTCACGCTCGTACATGTGTGCTATGACATTCTCAGGCTTTAGCTGTCCTCTGATTAGTCTGCACACTGGTCAACAAGCACGATGCGATAAACAGGCAGACAAACATACACACACACACACACACACACACACACACACACACACACACACACACACACACACACACACACATTTTCGTGGATAGCTTATTCTATCAGCGAGGAGCCGATACAAAAATGTTGTGCACTTCCATGTTCTAGCCGACCCATTCTGCAGTGCGGCTTCGCTGCTTGGTGCTAACAAAGATCACCTGGTTCCGACTAAAAAAAACAACTGGAAAATGAGAGCTGTGGGTGACTGTAGTCATAACAGCGAGGTCGGCAAAATACGGAGATCTTACTGCCATGTTTCCGAAATTCGACTGGCTTATAGTTCATTTCCCTCCCCGATCCACTCCCAACGATTCGCTCCTAAAAAAGGCTCTCGCCTGTCCCACCCCTCCATCCATGCTCTGGTCGGCCAGCCCGACCCTGCCCTCCCCCCTCCCCACGCTCCCGCCGCACAGTCTGCCGGCGCTCAAACGTCGTCCGCTCGCCTCCCCCCTCCGTGCATGTTCCGTCCTCCACTTGCCCCTCCCCAGCGACGGCGACGCCGAGCGGTCGACCGCCGAACTAGAGCCGCCAGTCGACCCGGCCGGCCGAGCGTCGTCCCCCACCGCTACCAGTGCCAGACCTGCGACCGGGAGGGAGGCCGCGCGCGGGGCAGTGGAGGGGCGGGCGCCGACGGACGCTCCAAGCAGCTGTTTCTGATCGCGGCCCAGGGTCTCGCTGATTGGGGCGGAATAGCTTAGTGCCCACGGACCACACACGTCGGGGAGTGATGTCGATACTCGAGATGCGCCGGTGATAGGACGCGTAGTGACTTCATCGATTCCAGCTCGCAACCAGAGTTAAGAACAGACATGTGCGCCGGAATGATGTGCATCAAATATGTCCTCTGCATCTTCAACTTCGTTTTCTTTGTGAGTATCTGTGCGAATAGGATTCGCAGAAAGGAGAGGAGTGGCATTGTGCGTTGGAAAGCTCTCTTTGTCCGGACATCGGTAGCCGATTGTGGTATGGCATCTTATCATCTATTATAATTATTATTTCGTTGTTATTATCCATGTTGCTATTCGCCGTGAACGTTTCCTCAGTCGGAAATATCCTTGGCCTTGAGGTACCCGAGCCGGAAGCTATCGATCCCGCTAAACATAGCCAAAAGGACACTATACCTTTGCACTTCCTTCCAGACGTTCAACAGGTCCGCAGGTTGACGTGCCGTTCACGTGGCGGGTGAGCCAACCGTCAGATCACCGGCTGTGCCCGGCCTTGGCCCGCCCGCGCGACCTTGTCGCTCCTCCAAGGTGTCCACCAGACGATGAAAGGTCCGGGCTCGCCGCCGCCAGAGCACTGACGGAAGCCGGCCGGCAGCCAACGGTTCCGCTTGCCGGCAGCGTCCCAGCACAAATCGATAGACCGGGGTGGACTATTTGTTTATCTTGGTCGCTCATCGCCGCTACCACCAATGCCGTCCTGGACATCGTGGAAATCGGCACTCGGGATCAGTTCAAGGCGGTGACAGGAAGAGGACGGTAATGGGAGCGAGTTTAGATAAAGTCAACGTGCCGTCCAGAAATGGCAAGGTCTGCTTGCTGTCGACGGGAAAGGTGGATCTTTTTTAACTCGGAGCGTCGAAAATAGCCGGCTTGAAAGTACCAGAAAATGCTGGTTAGATGCTGGCGTCATCGGAATGCATTATGGAAATGCTCGACGTTTTCAGCAGCGTTCATGGACACGAGTGCTCCGCGGTGCGCTGATTGGCTCTAAGGCTCAAAGTGCCGAAAAATAGGTGCATTTAAAGTCTCTTTTATCTGCAACAGGGAAACCGGTAAGGTTGTCAATGACCTTGTCCGGAATGTTTGTGGCTTCTTTACCAACTTGATTTGGAGCTACAACGAAAACGAGCCAACGAAAACAAGCGACAGACCGCATTCAGTTTTGCGGGTATCCGTTCGCGGGAAAAGGCATTTCGAGAAGGTATTTTGAGTAGACTGCTCTCACACAACTGGAGAGCAGAAGAATTGACTAGTCTCACACGATCGAAGATAAAAAAGAGGCTTCTCGGACACGACCGGATACCGGAAGACTTGACTACTCTCACACGACTGGGGTTTAGAAGACGAGACGTGCGATGCGTTCCACATTTTGGGTATCGGGACTGTTGTCGTTGTAGCGATGTTGTGTCCTGAGTTGCAGTGTAGTTTAATCAGTGTGGGCGTGAGTTTAAAGTACGGTCTCGTGGTGTAGCTCTCATCTAGTTGTACCAAAAATGAGCCATTGGAACAGAATTGGCCTGTTATGCGGTGCGTTGAAAGAGTTTCTGAAGAATGATGGTGTGGTGTGAATTGATTTTTGCGATGTTGTGTACTGAGGTGCGGTGTAGTTAAATCAGCATGGGCGTGAGTTTAAGTACGGCTCCGTGGTGTAGCTCTTATCTAGTTGCACCAAAAAATGAGTCGTTGGCACATAACTGACCTGTTATGCGGTGCGTTCGAAGAGTTTCTGAAGAATAATGAGGTGGCGTTAATTGATTTTGCAAAGAAATCCAGCGGTGAGGTCATGCCATGGGTCCCACTGCGAGGTCATGCCATGGGTCTAGCTGTGAAGTTGTGGCATAGACCCAGCTGTGAAGCCTTGCCATGGGTCCAATTGTGGGATCATGCCAAGTCCAGCTGTAAGGTCTTGCCATGGGTCCAGGTGTGAGGTCATGCCATGGATCCAGGTGCCAGAATGTCACCGCTATATTGCATGTATAACATCGTTTATATATTTTATTAGCAAGAAAAGTGATTCAAGGCGGCCCGTAATTGCACAGTGTGGTAAACAGAGACTAGCTAGGACCACGCCTGCCATTTGTTCGTACGCTGAGTTTCCAAAACCCAATGGAAAATTGTTATATATGTGAGTTAGCAGTTATGTACATTCAGGTCTGCTGATTACAACTTATCCTATCTTTTTCCAGACTTCTGGATTATGCTTATCATCGAATCTATGCTGTTTTAGTGGGAATATAGCCATATAGATTTGCTGATCCGGGGTAAAGGTACCTGGTGAAAAGCCTAGACTGGAATACACTGAAAGACTGGCTTTCCCCTTCCGCATCTATGTCACTCGACATTATCATACGGGCTTCATTTATGCACCGTCCCGAGTCGTCCTTTCTAGCCAAATGTGATCCCAAACCAGTTTTGTACATTTTGGTGATGTCACTTTTGGCATCGAGACCCATGGATTGAACACACTGCCCGATTTGTCGGCAAAAATCAATCAACACCGCGCCAGGATTTATTTCGCTGTGGTTCACATCACACTACCTGTCGACTCCCCCTCCCGACTCCCCCTCCCGACTCCCCCTCCCGACTCTTAAATTGTGATGCCACGAGATTGGAGCTACACCACGGACTTATGATTTACACCGCGGTCGCCCGGTAGCGCACACTGCACTACAGTGCGACACACTCCATGGCTGCTGAGGCAAGGCTTAGTGTGAACGTAGCCTTGATAGACTATCATTTCGTTCCGTGAGAGCGGATAAACGGAGCACCGAGCGCGCCTGTCGCTTGTGCTGCTCTTTCTCGCTGTCACTCCAAATCGGGTCCGCTGAAAAGTCATGAAGTGGTAAAGCGAACAAGGCTTGACTCTGTAAAGCTCTCCAATGAAGTGGACCAAATTTCTTGCACTCTGCCGCGCAATAGCTCTTTCTTTTCCGGGAATTTGAGTTGAGGGGCTTTCTGGGAATTTTGAGTTTGAGAGTAAGCATCTGCCGTGACAAAGAACATCAACTTTGGTCGTCGCATTTAGGTCCTCAGAAGAAAATTGGCTTTATCACGATCCATTTTCATGGACGGTTTTTCTCGTACACGTCTGGCACGTTGAAAGAAACTTGTCAATAAGACTGACAGACATTGAAGAAATGTTTGCAAGGCTCAACCATTAGCTTGTACCGACCAGCCTCTCCCTTGGGTATGTGGCGCTCGTCAGCAGTGACAACAACTTTTGGCTCTCGCTCGATTTCCCGCCTCATATTTTTTTCTAATTACATTGTAGGTAATGTCATAGTCAACCAACGCCAGAGTTCCTGTATAAAAAACAAACTGATAAAAGTCCCCTTTTATCAGATAGCCAAACACCCAGTTTTTCGAAACACTGCACGGGACATGATGACAAACTCTCCGCTAACCGCGAGGACGAGACGCTCCGTCAAGATTAGCCAATCACCAGGAAGAGATGACGATTGGTTCACCGGGGCTTCTGCTGACCGAACACCGCTTATCACCGGCCGGCCCGTTGCCGCTTCAGTTTTCATCGAACAAATTACCCCAGATGGATCAGCATTGGGATGCACAATCCCGGCGTTAGTCCCACGTAGCAGTCACGCTGTGTGGGGTAAGAATATAAAGAGATTAGTCCATGCATGTGTTTTGGTTTTGGTGCAGTTTTATTTAACATAAAACTGCGATGATAGGCAGTCTGTTTATCGTTGCAGCAGCTGCCCTACAGTGATGTACCACGTGGCCATCGTGCCATGTCTGTCTCGGTCTCACGTCGCTGTTGACGAGACGTCTAGCAGGCATCTCTAGAACTGCTTCACAATGGCGGCCAGTGGCTGCCTGACGTGTTTTTTAAGGCTAAACTTTACTGTTCAGACCGCACGCATGTGTAAATATGTATACATACGAGTCTTTCCAAACTTCATCTTTGCACCGCAAATACTTGACTCGGGATCCGGAATGCCCCCTCACTCCTGTCCTAGCTTTGAGAGGGTCCACGAGTTATGATTTTGTCTATACCGCTACCGAGGAACAGGTAACCAGGAGTGCCCGTCCCTCTATCCCAACGACGCAGTAAACCGTGCGGTAACACCAGAAAACATAAAATCAAGTCGCGGCACTTCCAGCTAGGAGGAGGAAACGAACGTAAAGAAGCAGGCGAAGAGGTGGTGCAGACCCGAAAGAATTGTGTTGCGTAAGAAGCAAGGAAAAACCATACATTAGAAGGCTTGAAGTAGTCATTAGCCGAAGTCAGCTAATGGCAGCCCGCTATAACCACCCAATGATCTACAACCACTCATTTACCGTGTTAGTAAGGGTTGCAAAGTCACACAAGTCGGAGGGGCAAATTACCTGGTCATTTTCGTGCTGGGTTTTGAGCTGGATATCCAGGGAGTCCACCTAGCTAAGCGGAGCTTGTTGCTGGAAGAACTCCCGGAGCCAGCGCCATGAATTTGAGTGCATATACATGACTTAAACTATATCAGAACGTGATTATGGGTCATGAAGGAGGTTCAATATGAAGTGCGTTACATATGTGCAGCGCAAAAGATTGCAACATCTTCGAATATGTTGGTTACGTTAATACGCATTCACGAAATGCTTGCGGATGATATTCTTAACGATGTTTTTTGATGCAGAGGTATCAGTTATTCTTGGAAAATATGAAACCATAATGTCGTTCCACAGGTTAGGGCTAAGGCAAGATGTTGTAAATAGTCTATAATTACGATTAGAGAAAGGTTGGTCTCAATATTTTACTCCCCTCATATCCATGTCCTGTTATTCGTAGACCTTGTATATTAAATCGGATGATGCAGGGAGCTGTGAAGTTACACATTTGTGCATCACAATTAACATTTGCGATTTAGCGATGTCCGATAGTTTCAAAATTTTGTGTCGTTTAAAGATTGGCTCGGAGCGTAGTGGAGGATGCACATTTTCTATCAGACGTACAGCCCTTTTTGCAAATTTACCAACCGATCTAGTGAAGAAGAATAATTTACATCCCAAATCAAGTGTTATAGAGTAGATATGACATTAAGTACCTAACCCTACTTATTATTCAAATATTTTTACTTAATATCCTTGCAACAAAATGAATGGGGCTCGTCAATAATATATTTGTCAATGAGTACACCAAGGTATTTCAGTCCTTTTTTCTCTTCAGTAGGTTAATTGTTAAATTGCACATTTAGTTGGAAATGCGAAGTAAGGGTAGTGTAATGCTGTGTAAATGTTTTTGATACGTTCAGGGAAAGAAAATTAGCACTACAGCAGGAAGACATTAGAAGCAAAAGCGTATTGGCGTTGTTTAAATTTCCACATTACTTTAATTTTTGGAAAAATAATCGCAGTATTATCAGCGTAAGAGAGGCAGATCATGCTACTGCTTAATTTAGGGAAATCACTTATGTACCTTAAGAACAGAATTGGGCCGACAATCGATTGTTTGGGTTGCCCCCATTGTTACGTTTTTGAATGCTGGTAGATAATTCCTAATTTTTGCATATTGAGTTCTGCCAGACAAAAAAACAAGAAGCGATTTCATGAGATTTTAGTCGAATACCATATTAAGTAGGTCTACGCAGAGGAAGGTATATGTTAACAGAGTCAAATGCTTTTTTTAAATATAAATACAAACCTAGTACATTTTCTCCGCTTTCAAAAGCCTTAGTGATAGTTTCCTGGAGAAGAATTGGCCTGTAGGTACTTTTGTTCTTCTGAAATCCGAACTGATTTTGGTGAATTAGGTGGTTTTGGTTTAGATGAAGGGACGATCTATGATATACAAGTTTTTCGAGAATTTTGAACATAAACGGCAAAATACTGATTGGTCTGTAATGACTTACAAATTGAGAGTCCCCACCTTTAAAGATGGGTTTAGTCACGTTTTCTCACTTTGATACATATAAGATACACTCATAACGGGAACAAGACAAAGACACAATGGGAAACCTATTGCTATACTCACATCAATATGCTCACCGCCCACCACCTAACAGTTTAAGAGTTGTGCAAGTATTTGCTTAGGGCTGGAAAGAGTTCGTTAATGAATATACTTTCCCAAAATGGAATGCGTCTTCTGTCATTGCACGTCCGTAAAATATCAGTGGTCTTGTCTTCTGTCAGTTGTTGTGTTAATGTCCTGTCGTCTTTGTGTCGCATGTGGTCCACCGGTGCCCCATCACGTTAGTGCATTGTCAGGCGTCGTAACAACGTCGTTGTGGTCACCAATGTAGTACAAGGAACGAAGTTTGCAGCCTTCGATGTTGCATTTGAATTGATACACCACATTGGTGCATTTTATGTTGTCGGGTTTGTCTGGCTGTTTCTTGTAAAACGTTAAAGATTTTCTTGTTACGGTGATAAGTGACGATGTCTAACTTGTGGTCGTTTTTGCCTCAACGTGTCGAGAGATAATTTCCCGTAAAGCTTTTTCGTCTTGTTTGTGTGCAGATATCATTCGATTTTGATAGTACAGTTTGACGGTTATATATACAACTATATATAGATGCCCCATACACACACACGTATATAGCTATGAATATATATATATATATATATATATATATATATATATGCGTATATTTATGTATCTCTATATGTATATGTATAAGCTGAATGTCGGTTATGGAGGACATATGAACTGAGAAGTAACAGCAGGACAATTCTTTCGTTTATATCTAATGCGCGTCGTAAGTGATGGCCAGACCGGCAACATCGAATCATGGGCGGCAAGCTCTGCACTGTTTCGTCAGTTGGTTTGCCCGCGGTGCTGCGTGCGATCCCTGAATTTCCGTAATGTTGGACGACAAATTTTGAAGTTACGTTCATATTTAGCGGAAGACAACGTATGGCAAATTTTGAATGACATGACGGAAGGGATCCACTGTCTCGGTAACAAGTGCTGAATGACATGTAGTAAGCAAGTACAGGCTGGTCGATCTCCCTCTCTCTATTACACTGGCGGTATTCATAGCCTAGCACGTGTTCATCCCTTGGCTGCACAAAGAGCACGTGTCGAAGGCGGCGCGCTCGCGGAGGGGTCGGTGACTGTGCCGAGCGTTACTGGGGTGATGGCACGACCGGGCCGGCCGGAGCCCCGTCCGACGAGCCGGCGCTTTGTTCCGCGTCCTGACACCGATACACGTGGGAAGTCGCCGGACTCCGGCTGGGACCCATTCAGTCGTCAATTTATTTCTGACAATTGAGATATTTCAGTTACTTTGGCGGCTGAGACCACCGGTAACAATCATTCCATCGGCAAGTCTGGAGGGATATATATATATATATATATATATATATATATATATATATATTGTGGAGCCATGTCTACGCTAATGTTCACAACCGCGGTGATCTACGCCAGTGGCGTCTGCCGACGGCTCCTCACCGAGTGTTCATCGATCAACGCCATTGGCGTCGCACCTTCGCACGGCGGCTCTGACGGCGCCCTTTGCAATTCGAAAGCCCCACAGCCACTGCCGTCTTCTCTGTCCGGCGCCGCTGGTGGGACATCGCGCGCGGATGACACGAGCGGGAAGTGCCGGCTGACCCGGCGCCAGCGGCCGGAGCGTGTGACGGTGCTCGCCTTTGTTCCAGTCGGCCGGCGCCGCAGTTCTCACAGTGGGAATATGGCTGTCCGTGGACAAGACGTCGTTCACCATGCTGACCAGGCTGAGCCAGGACGAGAGTTTAGCGGTGAGTCGACTGCCGCGAAGGACGGGCGTCACGTGGCGAAATAAGTATAGCAGTACCGTTTGCCTGGCCGTGCGATGTATGTCACGCGTGAACGGTGGATGAACGGCGCGGACATCTGTCGTGGCCTGCCACAGCGGCCAGGCCGGGGCTTTGTGTCGCCTGCCGTGGGACGCGGAACGTCTCTTGCGTTTCCGCGTCGGCAAATCTCTGGGCCGCAACAGCAATGTGATTCGCAACATGAAACTCAAACCAGCCTTCTCACCCAAACCGTGAGCGCACAGTGCAGTTCACGGGATGAAGCATCCACCTCATGACCTACAGCAAGTGGGATCGAGACTGGCCGCCGGCTCTCTGTGTGTTACTGAGCTGACATCAACCACAAACCGCATGAGATTGGTGCAACGCTAATGACCATAGGAACTGCGCGGATCGCTAATTTAGCGATTTTAAGAGAACATTGAGCAATAAGCGGGCCTCTCGTCATACTGCCGGAGTTGGCACCGCGCCAGGTGACCCTGGCGTGCCATGCTGCCCGACCTGACACGGTGGTAGCCCCGGTGTACCATGCCGTCAGAGCTGACACACGGTGGTAATCCTGGTGTACCATGCTGTCAGAGCTGACACACGGTGGTGACCCCGGAGTACCATGCTGTCAGAGCTGACACACGGTGGTGACCCCGGAGTACCATGCTGTCAGAGCTGACACACGGTGGTGACCCCGGAGTACCATGCTGTCAGAGCTGACACACGGTGGTGACCCCGGTGTGCCATGCTGCCCGAGCTGGCACGGTGGTGACCCCGGTGTGCCATGCTGTCAGAGCTGACACGGTGATGACCGTGCGGTTTACTTAGAGTGTTCAATGAAGCTTCACTTATTAATTGCAGCTTGCCATTGGCACCGCACCAGTTCCAGCCTCTAAGATGGGTACTAAGGCTGCTGCGCAAAACGCTGGTGCCTTTGTAATACAAAATGATGCAGGCTTCAGGATACCGCAGACATGGTGGCTGCCAGTTGACAGACACCAAGCGACAAAGTCTATAGCCGGCGATATAATTCACAGATTTATTTTTGATGTTGGATGCTGAGCTGGCGCCGAGCCCCTCTGCATGAGCCGTTTTGCATAAGTTTAGGCCTGCCAGAAAAATGGTTTAGTTAAAGCTGTAGACGATTTTGCTTGGCCAACATTGTTAAGGCGATGTACGTTTAGAAAAAGCCCTACATTCCTCGTGACTGGTACCGATGACCGCTGCCGGGCTTACCACCTGCCGTGTCCAGCCGGGGCCGGCCAGGTTTGCGTGCGCCTGGACGCCAGGGGCCGGCCAGGTCTGCGTACGTCTGGACGCCAGGGGCCGGCCAGGTTTGCGTGCGTCTGGATGCCAGGGGCCGGCCAGGTCTGCGTGCGCCTGGACGCCAGGGGCCGGCCAGGTTTGCGTGCGTCTGGACGCCAGGGGCCGGCCAGGTCCACGTGTGTCTGGACGCCAGGGGCCGGCCAGGTCTGCGCTCGCCTAGACGTTAAACGTCAACGAAAGTTCTCGTGTACAAATTTCTGCACGCCATTACGTCCACGCAACAAACCCTGAATGCGAAAATTGTTATACATTACTTCAAATGTAAGCACTTTTAACGCATGAACTACTACGCGACAAAAGTTTTAATGCGAAGACTTCTACACATCACTTTTTGTACAAGAGCTGCGTTCTATCTGTCGTCAGCACGTTTGTTTGCACTAATCACGGTCCAGTAATCGCCCTACGTCACGTCACGTGACGGCAGTCGAGTGGCGTGTGACGTCACGCACCGGCTGACAATGATGCCATAATTTTTTGTCAGCCCGTCAGCATGGAGAGAAAGCGCTACCAGGTAAAATCTCTGGCTGGAGCGGGAGTTTCATTTGGTAGCTCTTGCGTTGGCAAGTACGTTTGGTTGGGTGGAGGCACTTGTTCCTAATTTTGGGGGAAATGCGACGTGAGATAGATAAGGAGGGAACTGAAATGCCCAGAGTAGCCGGGAAGAGGTGAGTGACAGTGATTGTTGAGGTGTGTGGTTGCGTTACCCAATAAATCTATCTAGGGTTATAAGTAAACTCGTAAAATGAGAGGGAAGAAATTAAAAGGGATTAGAAATGGGAAGAAGCACTCAACGCCCGGATGTGATGATAACGGTAATACTGGAGCAGAAGCCACACTTCGAAAGACCACTTTGTACGTAGTGTGTCGGCGGTAAGCCAGGTTTAGTGTGGTCTAAAGTAAAAAGTAAGGAAGAAGAAGGGAAAGTTAAGTTGAAAATCTTTCCCGTCAGCCCACACATCGAACGCACCGTCAGCACTCGTGACGTCACGCATTCCAGCTGACAAACGTGCTGACGACAGATCGACCGCGGCCAAGAACATCTAGCGCATCAACTCCTACGTGACAAACTTTTGGCGCAAAAGCTTCTTACGCGAGTCAGTTAAATGGGCTCCCATTGACAGTAAGTTCCTTACTGTGCTGAGTAGAGTCCCGCGTGCCTGAGAGCGTGCAGGGCAGGTGCCGGTGGCGGCCGTGTCTTTGTCGCGCCGCCCGCCGCGGCCGCCGGCGGCTCCTTTGTGCCGGAGCGGCCGGCGTGAACGGCGGCCCGGCGCCGCCCGCCATCCCCAGCCCCGCGCTTCCGCGAGGAAATGACGGGAGCTGCGCCGCCGTGACGGACTCATGCAAGAAGCCCGGACTCAGCATGTACGAGCGGTTGCGGAATGCTCGCATTGCAATGACAAGGAAGCGGTCGTTTTCTGGCTCTGGGTGTGGGAGGGGGGAGGGGAAGGTGGGTTCACGCGTTCATTTGGGGGTGGTTGCGGGACACTCGCGCTGCGCGTACGACGAATAATCCGTTTTCTGGGTGGTGGAGCGTATTTTGAAGGCTCGGATTTGTGTGTTTCAGCTATTCAACGACGCGTCGGTAATCGAGCAGGGGGCCTACATCCTGATCGCCGCCGGCGCCCTCATCTTCATCATCGGTTTCTTGGGGTGCTGCGGTTCCATCAAGGAGTCTCGACTCATGCTTGGCCTGGTGAGTGACTGAGCCTATCAGCTCGGCTCACCTGAGCGTTAACCCGGGATGGGCAGGCGAACGGCGCCCCGTGTTGGTGTGTTGATGAACGTTTACCCAGGATGTGCAGGCGAACGGCGCCTCGTGGCGATGTGTTGATGAGCGTTCAGCCGGTATGTGCAGGCGAACGGCGCCTCGTGCCGGTGTATTGATGAGCGTTCACCCGGGATGTGCAAGCGAACGACGCGTCGTGTCGATGTGTTGGTGAACGTTTACCCAGGATGTGCAGGCGAACGGCGCCTCGTGGCGATGTGTTGAACGCCGAATGGTACTCTGCTGTGTTACTACAGCAGCCGTTGATGGTCCCGGACGGCCGCCGACAACGTGTCTGACCGCAGTCTGACCGCTGACAACGTGTCTGACCGCAGTCCATCCGCCGACAACGTGTCTGACCGCAGTCTGACCGCAGTCTGACCGCTGACAACGTGTGTGACCGCGGTCTGACCGCCGACAACGTGTCTGACCGCAGTCTAACCGCCGACAACGTGTCTGACCGCAGTCTGACCGCAGTCTGACTGCCGACAACATGTCTGACCGCAGTCTGACCGCTGACAACGTGTCTGACCGCAGTCTAACCGCCGACAACGTGTCTGACCGCAGTCCAGCCGCCGACAACGTGTCTGACCGCAGTCTAACCACCGACAACGTGTCTGACCGCAGTCTAACCGCCGACAACGTGTCTGACCGCAGTCTGACCGCAGTCTGACCGCCGACAACGCTGCCGCGTGACGCAACAATGTGCCAAGGCGGCTTTTGAGAGATTTCTCGTCCTGAACGTGTCTAGTTCAGCCAGCGTCATGCCAACACAACACGGCTCTCGAACTCCCGCCGCGGCTACGGTCGCTGGGGTCGCGTCGTAACCCTGCCGTCGCCCACACCGATCGCCGATTGCGGAGAAGGGAGCGGCGGAGTGCATGTGGGCGGGGCTAGGACCCGGACCTTCGCCCATTAGACGGCGATCATACCGCGAACGTAATAGCACGGGAGAATGTCGTGTCACAGACGAGTCGTTACAGAAGCAAGCCGTCAGAGACTGGAGTATCGGCGTCCGAGACCATGCTGAGGCCGGCAGCGTGGGCACGCATGCCCAAACAGTTGGGTTACAGTTGGTGTGGCCTGTTGCGTCACCATCAGGGCCAGCGGCAGAACAACGGAGTTCTTTGTAAAGAAAAGCACGCAGTACTGAATGTCATGCCATACATACCAGTTGTATGGCCATGAGAAGACAACTGAGGTTGATTTTGTTTTTCGGTTTGGTTTCCCATCCCAGGCATGTTCAGTTATGTTACATTAAATGGAGATCAAATGTCACTGATCAGCTCATTAGGGCTTGTCGCACATTGCAGCCAAGCTTGGTGTCGATATTGTCGGAGCTCGCTTGCTGCCTTATAGTTCAGAAGAGGACAGGCAGTACATCCTGCCACGGCTGACCGTGCCCACCCGGTGCAACGCGCGCCAGCTCGTCCACAGGCGCTGCTCCATATGGCCGACCCCCCCCCCCCCCTTCCCCAGCTGCACGTCGAGCAGTGCGCAGCGCAGCTCGCGCTAGGCCCGGCCCGTCCGTCACAGGGCTCCATAAATACTCGGATCTCGTGTTGCGGCCGGGGGGCGGCTGTTTGCGCTACAGGCCGGCGACGCCGCCGGCGTGGCGGCGGCTCGGGTAACCGCCGGCTCGCGCCGCCCTCTCGCCGCGCTATTGGCAACTGCATCGAGCTGCGCCGACCGCGGTGGACTGGACCGACGCACGGCGACCACGGCGCTCGTTCGGTGGTCTTCCGCCGCCACTTTCTGGCCTTTCTTGCTGCACACTCTGTTGCTCGCCCGTTCCCTTTTTCTGCTTTATCGTTCCCATGGCTTTTTATCTCGCTCTTTTCTGTCATTCTCACTCGGCGTTGCTTAAACTGCTTGCCCGCCTACAATGCATCGCTTCATTGACAGGAACGCCAGTGCAATTAAACCAATACAATGGCATGAAGCAATATGCCGCGCTGCCGTCAGCTGGTGTAGCCAGGTCACGGTCCGCCCCACACAATGGCGAGCAAGTCTGGAAATGCACGTCACGATGACTTCCTGGCGGTCGTCACGAGCGGACTGGGTGTTGGTGTGGCACGGAAGCGGCATCATTCTCGCCGTCACGCCACAGGCGCAGGCTCTCCAGATCGGTCCATGTGTCGGCGTCTTGCTTGCATACCCGGCTGGTGCATTGGCCAAAATTGCCTGATCGACTCGATTCAGAACGATTAACTGCACTGTGTATACACCGGCGCTCTTTGTGACCGATGGCGACCCCGGGTCACGGACGAGGCCGACTTTGTGGCTAATGGTGACCCCGGATCACGGACCAGGCCGACTTTGTAGCTGATGGTGACCCCGGGTCACGGACCAGGTCGACTTTGTGGCTGATGGTGACCCCGGGTCACGGACCAGGTCGACTTCGTGGCGGATGGTGACCCCCGGTCACGGAAGAGGCCGACTTTGTGGCCGATGGTGGCCCCCGCTCACGGACGAGGCCGACTTTGTGGCCGATGGTAACCACGGGTCACGGCAGGCTGACTTCCACATTTGTTGGCAGGTTTTCTATGCGACGTGATTGTCTGTGAGAGGTTCTGTTCTCTTCCGTCCGTCGTATTAACCGCGGACCAGTACGATCCGCCACGCATGCATCATTTCCGTCCCATTCTGACATGCCCGGTGGGATTTCGGCGTGGTGCGGGGCGCATTGCGTCCATTCATCCCAGCGCAGCGCCATGCGGCACCGACATGCCGCCACGTCCGACATTCGCGGCCTCGGGCCAGCCAGCTGAGGCCATGTGAGCAGACCGTCAAAGCCCGAGACGGATGGCGGCCGGCAGGGAATGTTGTTTTCCGGCTGATGGGGAGGGACGCCCGCGTGCCGAGGCTGTGACGCAGGGAGGCGTCCACCGTCATCGGTGACTGACTGACGGCGAGCCGCCAGGGTGGTCACGACCTGTCCGGCCGCCACATGACGTCATAGTTCAGCGCCCGTGCGACCCGACGAAGTGACCTTTAGGCCGGGCGAACCTGAGTATCGTATGGGCTTTTCATGGCGGCCACCTGTGGTACGGAGTGGAGCGTAAAACACTGTAACCATTAGAAAAGTTTGCTGCAGGTGTGGCGCCACCGGGTAAGGTGGGGACACGGTCACCCACCCCGTCTGTTGTCAGACCGGGCAGCGAGCTGGTCTTTTTGCCCATTCTGAAGGAGTTTTGGGAGGCCAGTCGAGACCCATGACAGGGGCAAAGGCAGGAGTTCGCGACGGCGGGACTCACCAAGCTTTGGTAAGACAGTAGTGATAGCCTTATTCCTAGTAGAAAATTCAGGAGAATGGAGAGATAGATGCGCTGATATTTCGGCCACATGCCATTCTCGGTTTCGATAAAGGTATGTTGCCGAACCATCAGCACATCTGTCCCTCCATTCTCCTGTTTTGTTTTCTGCGAGGAATAGGGCTATTACTTCTGCCTTATCTATCTGCATAATGTTTCTCGCGAATGTACTTAACACCTTACCCAATCCGGTTTTGTGTATTTTTTCAAGAAATGCGGGTAGGCGGCCTCCCTGTCATTGTACGGGATTCGACGGACCACTGCAGTACGGTAACCAGTCGAGTGACGAAAGGCCAGATGCAGTGTCAAACAGGCGTGAACAGCGGCCGAAGCGAGGGCGTGTGGGACAGAACAGCGAAGCTACTCCCGATTACAAAAAAGTGCTGCACAAAGAGCAGACGATTGCCACACGGCTTACCGTAAGTGTAAGATGGGCCCTTGCGAGGACCTGCGATGGACCCTTCTTAGGCCTGTGACCTGATATGGCTTTTCCGACTTTGAGATACTCACTCTCGGTGCCTTGAATGGGCTCGATCCCCGAACAGAGCCGGGGCGTTTCTGGCTCTGAGTTGGGCCATTTTCATACCCGAGACCTGCTCTTTTGGGTCTGAAAACTGCCTACCATTTTGCTGTCCTGGAATGGGCTTTTCAGATCAGAGCTGGGCCCTATCTGAGCCTGTGATGAATCTTTCCCGAACCTGGATGGGCCGTTGCCAGGCCTATGGCCGAAATGAGCCTTTTCCAGGTCTGAGCTAAATGCTTACCAGGTCTATGGGCCGACAAAGACTTCTCCGGATCTAAAGTGCTTTGTGAGCCTAAAATAAGACCTTTCCAGCCGTGAGTCGATTGGGGTTACCGTGGTCGAGGGCAGACTCCAGTTGTGCGGGGATCGATATTCCATGCATCCTGGATGGTTGGGGCTCATGATGCGACAGGAAGTTCTCGTCATGACAGATGTGGTGGTGGTTTGGTCAGATATGAGGCGCCGTTCAGTTCCCTTGCATGACTGGATGTAAAACTCAGCTGGTCGCCGGAATTCCATGTTTTAGCGCAGCATCTCTGTCATTCATCCTGAAATGGAGCATGAGGACGCAAAATATTGTTTAACTTGCTGTGTAAAACGTTAATAGTAATGCGATCAACTACCACACTCTTTGGACTTTTGCATATATTCCATGAGAGCTACATATAGCGGACATCTAACGGTCTTGGCGGACATTTGTGAAAATACGCCTGCATTTTACTAAACTGGCAATATCAGATACGGGCTTGTTGTGCTCTACATCGATCTCTAGAAAAACATTCACTTAGTTGTCTTTTTTAACCCAGGTGTCTTCCGAAACTGACTTGAAGTGGGAACGTCAGACCAGTTACGAAAGTCGGATGAAAATTTTTGCTTTAGCAGTCTGGTGCAAGGCGAAGGCAAACTTGGAGGACGAGGTCCTTGTTCACACATTTTACATATAGTTGTGCAGGACACACATGCAAACCGAACGAAACGGTGTATACACCTAATTCAGCGGTGCTTCAGAGTACCATATCGGAAAAAACAGAACTGACCACGCCATCGGAAATGTGCCTTGGAAATATACTGCATTTATGCAGCATATATAT